AGATTTACGTGAGTGAGAGTTGGGGGAGATTACTGTCGTGTGGGATTTTAAATTGGGCTGGGTGGGCAGGTTTTTAATGGGCCGGGTGATTTCCCACTTTGAGTAGCCACGTAGGAAATTTTGAAAAACTGTGTAGCAAGCTGTGTAGTGAAATGTAAGAGTAGCATTTCTCTTGAAATGAATGGTGGGAATGGGTGAGGGATGTAGATTAGTTTTAATTAAATTTTTATTAATTATAATTATTAAAATTTAATTACCACCTGATGTATATAAAAATTAATCCCTTTGTTTTTTGAAAATTAATCTTGAGATGTAGGTTTTTGGTAATTTTCCTGGGTAGGGGATGTAAATTAGTTTTAATTAAATTTTTATTAATTATAATTATTAAAATTTAATTACCACCTGATTTATATAAAATTAATCCCTTTGTTTTTTGAAAATTAATCTTGAGATGTAGGTTTTTGGTAATTTTCCCTACTTAAAAATTCATTTAATTATAATTTTTTTGGTCGATTCTAACTTAGTTTAATCATTTCCAAAATATTTTTCTCAAGTTTAATATATGATTAATTACGAGCTATCAAATGAGCCCAATATTGTTACGATAATTTGATTATTTTGGAAACTAATATTACATATTAAGTAATTTATTTTAATGAGTTACAAGTTTATCTAAATGATTTTTTTCTTGAGTCCACAATGTGTCATTTATTATCAGTTTCAAAATGAGTCCAATATTGATAGGGTAATTTTCAATCCTCCAATAAATAATCATTTGGCCCAAATACATTATTGTCTCAGAATTTATTTTCACTTTAGTATTTCAAAATCTCAAATTTATTAAAAGATTTTTAATTCAAAATCATTAGAATCTAGTTATGTTTTTCATTATTAAATAATCCTAACTCGTCACGTTATCATCTATATTTTTCACCATTTTGCAATCTAGTCCCTAAATTTTGCACTTTTTGTAATTAAAAATCACTTTCTCCTGGAAATCATCTTTACAATATTCTCAAGAATTCAAATTATAGTTGTTAAAAATTTTTCATGATTTTTAAATTGCACCTTACTCAAGGTTTCCAAATTAATAATTTTCTATATTATTATTGACATTCTAATAATATTTTTTCCATCATTGTGATAATTCTGCTAAATATTATGTTACCTTAATTTCTCGAGTTAATGAGATAATTTTTTCTACTGTATCTTTTGAATTGTATCAAGTCTTCATTTTGTAAAAAAAATAGCATTTTTGCGTTTGTAAACAAATTTACGTTTAAAGACCTCATAATAATTACTTTTTAGTGCTTCAAAACTCTTAGAGCCAGGTCTAACTGTAGTCTTTAGGACACCCCATCCACAAACCAAGACATTAGTATTAGTTGATGCATGGCTCAAATAGGTGCATCCAAGACTCCGGCCAACCACTTTTTACTTCCCACATAGGAATAGAAATTTTGTGACAAAGCCGCCACCAAACCCTACTCCACTCTCAGCAAACTCTTGGCAGGAACTGGAGCGTTCAGTAGGATCAATCTTCTGCTTCAGTTATGCACCCCATCTCCCCCCACGCCACCCATATGCGACGGGGATATTAAGTCCCTACTTAATAAAAATTCAAATTCAAATTTTAATCTAAGTTAAAATTAATAATTATTTTTTATCATATATTTCATGAATTTACAACGTTTTAAGACTCAAGTTTATTTTAACTTACTTATTTTGTCACTTATCTATCTTTAGGACAGTTTGAAAGTTCTTCAAAATGTCTAGCTTCTTTGAGAGTGTGGATCAGTCAGCCAATTTTAAAGTGCAAGTTAAGGCTTTCTTTGGTTTTATTTTATTTTGTTAAGATTTTACTATTAAAGAAATGAGTAGTTGATAAGATATTGCATATGTGATGTTTAATTTTAAAAAGAAAAATATAAGAGTAAAGAATGAAATTCAAATATAAGCTAAATTTACTTTGGGAGTATTTTCAAGGCTCTCTATTTTTAAAGAGTATATTTTGTAATTTAGAGAGTAAAAATTTTTAAGTACCCTAACAAACTTGGTTTTACAACGTTAAAAAAATATTTATTTTTTCCTAAATTTTATTTCACTAGCTTCTCACCAAATGATTATATTATTTTTCATATATTTTATTTTCACCTGCTTCCCTCTATATTATTATTTTTCCATTGATTTGTCTTTTCAAATTTAAAGGGTCAAACTTACTCTCTATTTTAAAATATTAATTAAAAAAATCTATTAAAAAATAAGTTTAAGGATTAATTCTTTAAAATAGATAGCATCTTATCCCTACTATAATAAAAGAGCAAATCCGTCGAGTACTGTTCATTTTGAAGCATTTTCCATTCCCATTATACCCACACTAATTAATTTTTTCCCACTTTATCCCCAATATGTACCGTTGATTTTTTGGAACTTTTTTTTTTTTTAATCCCAATTCATCCATATCCATCCTCTACTATTCATATAAGGTTTAATGGTGATTTGAACTTCTTCCTACCACATGCCTACAA